CCCCCCCCCAACAGGGTCAGAAAATAATATATAGATGGCACAAAGGACAACACGCTCCAATGAAAATAATAGATGGCACAAAGGAAACTAATTTAATGCCTATTGATTGCCTGTTGACACCATTTGATTTCCTACTGTTTATTCCTATTGGTTTGCTTGTGGTTCCTTTTGGATTCCTTTTGGTTCCTTTTGAATTCCTTTGGATGCCTTTTGTTTCCCTCTCATCTCAAACCTAGGAACCTCTTCCAAATAGAGTTTCCTTTCATTTCCTGATTAAACGCAATTCCTAGAATCTGGTAAGCCAAGAATCCAAAATATGACTCCACTGTTTTCTAATCAGAGGTCCACATTACATCCAAGCATTTCATGTTGACATCGCAACCCTAAAAATTCAGACACATTCTTTCCTTTTTCCCATCCCGAGTTGTCGAAAGCAGCGCCATCTTGAATTCAAGAGTTGCGGACGCTGACCTGTACATTGATGCATCTGACAAATGGGCGGCCATATTTTGAGATACAGTAATGTATGTTGTTCTTTGCCTGGTGCTCACAAAAACTTGGTTGCTTCAATCTGCCGCCATGCCGCCTTCCTTTCTGTGAAAGTGTATGACATGCAAAGCCATCAAGTCTCCAATGCTGTACAAAGAACTGCCTCGGGAGTAGATGGCACAACTAATGAGATTGACCCCAAGTCCATTTGATGGCTTGGTCACGAGCTTCATCACTGCTAGCGAACTGGCCTCCAACACCATATGAGAACCACTTGGATTGGGGGCCATCGGAGGAGGAACCAGCGGGCCAAGCCTGCCAACCACTGCAACGCCCCTCCAGTTTGGCCCGCTTATGCTGTAGCTTCGCCCCTGGAGGTACAGATTGACGGACATCTGCTGGAGTGGCATTCAGCCCTTTGCTAGAAGACGCTGTGTTGGACACAATAGCATCTGCTTCTTGTGGGATGGGTGACCTGCCCGTGGACATTGGTGCCTCCCACAAGACTTCCTCAACCAAATCATACTCCTCCCCGTCCAAAGCCTCAATGTCCTCATCTTCTGGCGGTGGGTTGTCTGGCATGTCTGGTTCTACTTCATCATGAAATGCGGGTGCCTCTTCAGGTTCCAAATTCTCAGCTTCGATATTGGCATCTTCGTTGCCCACATCACCCCCCTCGCCCTCATCCTCTCCCTCTTCCACACATGCTCCGTTGTGAAAGATCTCCTTCAACTCTTCAAGTGACAAGGGCTGGTGCTCTTGCTTCTCATCTGGCTCCAAGACTTTGCATTGCAGAACTCTTGCGTGATCTTCCCCCCGCACATGAAGTGTGAGGTTCTGCATGTCCAAATTAAATACTGCCAAGTCCTTCCAAGCTTTGCAGTGGGAGGACTACACAAGTTGTAGTGTGTGTTTTTTATTATAATATTGTAGTTTTGTTTCCTCCCCATTCAGCCAGACCACTCCAGTTCTTGTGTGAGTTGCGCCATCAATGAGTAAATGATCTTGATATTCCACTTACAAATGCACCAAAATCAGTTATAATCAGTTGCATTATCCCCAACAATCCAACTCACATGGATCATGGGGGGTTGCGCCATTTATGTTGGTCACCAAAAAAAACACAGAAAACAACTCCCCTGTCACCATGGGCCTTCAAAGTTCGTTGTGGGACATCTTCTTTGAAAGCCCTCCTGCCATCGCCCTGCGTGACCGTGTGCTTCAGCAGGAGTTTGTAGCTGCACTCTTTTCCTTGCCTTTTGGAAATGCAAATAGTTTGCATGGATTTCACCTCATGTGGGACACGACCATCAGCCTGAGCATACAAATAGCTGGCAATCCTCTTCTCGATTGGATGAACCAAGCAAGCAGGCATCACGGCCATGTCTGGAGAAGGATGCTTTTCAGACAAAAGCCATATGACACGCCGCCTCTTCATTTGGCCACCAAAGATCAGATCGTCAATGGATGGCTCCTCATTGTTTTCTGGGCCCAGCACGGCATCCATCTCCAAAGGATCCACTCGAAGCTTGCAAGAGCTCCACTGCTCTTCTGTGAACAACCCTCTGGATAGATATTCCTCCTTAGAGACGTGCCCAGTGAATTCCCAAGCTTTTGCAAACATGACATCTGGCACTTTGTTCCAATTTTGGAGGCAAATTTCAACACCTCAGCAAGATGGCGCAACTGAAAAGAATCTGGAAAACATGTTTGTGCACAGTGCATCCACTGAAAATACAGCCATTTCTAAGTACAGTAGAGTGGTTCACAGATAGGGGTTCTACCACCCATGCACCATCCCATCGCAGTCTACTGAATTCTGAGGGGCTTGGTCCTGCCATCTACTGGTTAGGTTGTGTTGAAACAAAAACTTTGGGGTTCAGCTGCATCAACTTTGAAATACTGTAACATTTTACTGTAGCCGCCTGGTTGCACTCCTGCAAATTTGTCCTTTTCTGCACTTGTCCGGTTCCTCCAATTTCCAGCCTGAGAGCTATTGGCCATCAAAACATTCTGATGGTTTGTTTGGCGGAAAGATATTTCAGGACAAGGTTACTGTAAACAAATGGACACGAGTAAAATTACAGTATATAACTATTTTCTTCTCTTGGCAACCCTTGTCACGTCTTGCACTATTTACTGTACTACACTTGGAGGGAGATCTTATAACAATCTTGCCGGTTTGTCTTCAGTCAGGCAGCGTGTAAAATGGTGCTCTCCGAAAAAGGTTCCGACAAAAGCCGACGCGCTCTCTCATGCTGCTGTCGTTCATTGCTTTCAGGAAGCCATGGATTTGATCCTGTTCAGGTGATGCAACAAGCATCGTTACAATACTGTGCATGTAAGTATTGTAATGCACACACACCGGATTAATCAACCCCCTGAAGTTCAACAAGGTTTGAGATTGGAGGGATTGGAGACCACATCCCCTTAATAAAGGTGATGACCTGATGATGGATGATGAGATGATATGATTCTGTGTGAACACTGAGGCCTGTGAGAGGGGTACCCTTTGTGAGCTAGAAAACGTTAAGATTTTGATAGAGTTTTAATAAGGGAAAAAGAAAGAATTTGGCTAGAGAGGTTTTTCCTGACACTTTGACACAAAAGGGGATGAAAAAGAAAGGGAAAGGGTATGAAAGAAGAGGGAATGGGAAAGCGAGGTACTGTAAATGAGTTGCGCCATCTATCGGTTCAACTACTGTACTCCGCATATCATGTTCACCTTTCACACAGAGGTTGCGCCATCTACTTGGCTGTTATCATGCACCTTTCTGATACTGTGATAGGTCAATGGGATTTGAAAGGGGAAGGGTAGGGAAAGGGAAAGGGTAGGGAAACATACTGTAAGGCAAGGAGAGGGAAAGAAAAAGCAAAAAAAACAAGAGGGAATAGAAAGGAGAGGGAAATGAGTTGCACCATGGATGTGATCCTGTTCAGGCGATGCAACAAGCATTGTTACAATACTGTGCAATTTCGCAATACAACCCCGTCCATTGGTTGGCCACATGCTGACCATCCTCCAGGTTTCAAAGAAGGAAGGGCCACATTGCATTCCTGGCTGAACTTCCATCGCAGGGCAGATGCACCTAAGTCATGGTCACCCACCATGAATTCACAACTGGCGAGTAGATGGCGCAACCCCAACCCATCAGTTGGGCAACATAAAGTGTAGTAGCACAGTAATTACACAGAACAAGGCGCCCTGCTTGTTTGCGAAATTCCCTGTAAACGCATCTGCGACCAACAGGCCTCTTTTGCCATGGAGATTGTGACGTTGGCGTTGCATGTCGAATGCGGCTTTGAGCAATTGGTTGTAATACACCACGGTCGATTCAGAGGTCATGAAATGTCCTCCAACATCGTTTTGATGAATGAAGACTTGGCCATGTCCTTTCCTGGGGTTGCGCCAGCTATTGAGAACCAGCACATGAAAGTCACATTTGGTCGCCATGAACACTATTCTGTAGAACAACCCCTTTTTTTCTCTCCAAACCATTCGGGATGTGCCATCTACTGTTTTGGGGCTGTGTTCTCCTGTCAAAAGGCTTCCCAAAACTTGCAAAGCATCTGATTCGCTTCTTTGATGTACTTTGCTGGCAAGGAATTGGGGCCAACGCTCAGGAAAAGAGGGCCTTTCTCGCCTGAAGCCCATGTCGACGTGCACATGGTCAGGCCTCTCCGTCCTCCACATAGCTTTGTAATCCTTGCATCGTTCTTCTCAAACCGACCTCGCTTCCTTTGGAGAACTGTTCGAGGCTCCCTGAAACAATTGATCCATGTCTGATCTTCAACATGAGCTGGAGGGGTATCCCCTCACGCTCACGAAGTTCATGGAATCTGCAACGTGACCTGAAATGGCACAACAATACACATTGGCCACTCCACAAGTCTTCCCCTTTCAAACCTAAAAAGGAAGGGGAAAGGAGAAGTGAAGGAAGGAAAGAAAAGGAGAGGAGAGGGAACGGGCAAGAAAGCAAAGGAGAGGAAATGACAAAAAAGAGGAAAGAGAAGGAGAGAACAGGAAAGAAAACAAACAAGGCAGTGGTGAGGGAAAGAAAACAAAAGGAGAAGAACAAGGAAAGGCAAAGGGTATGAAACAAGAGGGAATGGGAATGAGAGGGTCATGAGTTGCGCCATCTATTCACTCAACATCACTCAACTATCATTATGTTTTTCTTTCAAAACGTTGGCTTGACCAAACTCCATCACCTTGTGCTGTCTAGATGCTCCTGCATCTTAGGGTCCGAAAAGCTCAGATAGCTTCCGGACGTGTTCGTCTTCTGCTTTGTAAATTGCTTTGCCCGAGTGAACTTTTTGGCCATGTGTTTGAAGTTCTTTACCTTGAGGTGTCCAGGCTCATCCTGCCAATTCGCTGCGAGTTCTTCTGCAGATAGTTGGCCATCGCAAAAACTAGTCAGCAATGCCTTGTTGGATTCCTGGGCCTTCTCTCGCTGAGAGTCAACCTGGTTGTTGACTTCTTCCATTAAATGTGGCCTCGACATCCTTGTGAGAAACAGCATCCTTCCTTTGCATGACCTGGTTCTCTCCTGTCACCAACTCGTCCATTTGCCTGCCCAGGCAACTCAATCTTCAACAGAAGAACACATCATGTTGCAAGTAGATGGCGCAACACCCAGTGGATTACAGTAGATGAGACCCTTCCTAAAAGGCCATGTGGCGAATTGCACCATCCACTTTCATCCTCTTGTATATGGGGACTTGCCACCTGTAAAGTGTACCTACAAATATACAGTACAGTGTGTATATATATATATACAACATTATACTCAACAAGGTGTATGCAATAAACTAAACAAACATGGAAGCCATGCCTTTCCACCAACTCCTCAATGCCAGATGGCAATTGGTACGAACTGCCAGGTCCCTTCAAAGGAGCATGCACCAGTTTCCGATATTTGTTGGGCGCCTGTGAATGCTTGGATGCCATGCGAAAGGGTATGGATGCCCAATCCTGCTCAAAGTACAGTTTCCTCCAATGGGACAATCTCCTCGAACGGTAATCGGGGAAGTGCTCACTGACTGCCACATCTATGCTGCCAGTGATGGAGTGTTCATGCTTCAGGACCCATTCAACCTCAGAAACAATAGAAGGCGCAACTGGGGGAGAGTGCCATAATTGCACAGGGGCCATTGTCTTTGAAGAATCACAAAGCCAAACAGTTCTACAGTAGTACAGCTAGTAAAAGCTTGATTGCACGCCGTCTGAGGGGCAAGCTCCCGCTTCTTCTGAAGAGATAAAGCATCACCCTGCGACCTCTTATAGTTGGGTCGCTTCCTCTTTGTCCCCTTCTGGTTCTGGCTGGAGCCCCCGCTGCCAGTCTCTCCCTTCTGGTTCTGGCTAGAGTCCCCACTGCCACTCTCTCCCTGAGGTATGCTCTCCTGACTGCTCGTTTTCTGGAATTTTGTCAAAGCTGTCTCTGCCAAACAATTACCACCTGCACCCATTGCAGACAATTTTCTCTTGATCTTGGAAATCATTTCCGTTGTCGGCTTGGAACCTTCTGGCCGGCCGTTTGCCACATTGGCTTTTCTCTTCTGGCTGCTGTGCACATTTGGCTGGGTGAGTTTGTTGATATTTATTTCAAGGTTGTTTGACCATGAAATGGAACGAATCCGAATTAGAGGTTGTCTATTCTGATCCAGCGATCCGAACCGGTATGTCTCACTCGAATCACCTGAGAGGAACTAAGTGAAACCAACACAAGCAATGCGAACCTAGATTATCCACAAAACATGACCTTGAAAACGATTCTTCTTCCAAATTACTTGGCCGTGTGCATGTTGTCCTTTTCAGATCTTTTTTTCGATCGTCTCGGGAGATTGCGATACGCACCAGATATTCTTTTTCACACACAGAAGGCTTCAACGCGACCGAAGAATTTCTAGATCTGGCATGATTTGTCGTTTTTTCTCCAAACCGTTTGAAATGAAAGACCCAGAATGACATCGAACAACAATCTCCTGCTTAATTAGACTTGTGGGTGCATTGGAGTTGCACATTTTGTTGGGAGAGTTTGTTGCTGTTGATTTCAAGCGCAGTCGTTTTACAATGAAATGGAACGAATCCGAATCAGAGGTTCAGGTTATTTATTTTGATCTAGCGATCGATATGTCTCAGTCCAATGGTTGTTTATTCTGATCCAGCGACCTACTACCGATTATCTACTACCTACTACGTACCACCTACTACTTACTACCTACTATTTATTACCTACTACCTATTACTTACTACCTACTACTTATTACCTACTACCTACTATTTACTACCTACTACCTACTACCTACTACTACCACCACTACTACCTACAATCCAACCTACTACCTATTACGTACTACCTACTACTACTGCTACTACTATTACTACCACCACTATCTACAGGGGAGGGGGTGCGTTAGGTTGTCGAAAAATCCGCGCGGAGAAATAAACCGTAGATTGAAACTAATATAAGAATATTAACCAAAACAATCCATAAAACACGCCGGCAGGCCGGCGGATTATTGGTGGTATGAATATGTTTCATTAAAGAAAGAATATATTTCTATATTGGAAATATTTCATAATTATCTTTTATGTTTAAAGCAAAATTAATTCTCTAGATATAAATATGAATTTTATAAAATCTAAATTTTAATTTAACACGAATGAAATATTAAAATTGAATTTGAATTATATAATAATGAAATTAAAGGTAAAATAAAATTATAATTTGGTTTGCATTGAACCTTAATGAAGGAAAATTGAAGTAAAATAAAATTGAAATAGAATTGATTTTGAATTTATATATAGAATTGAATTTGAATTAAAATAGAATTTAATTATTTTGTATTTATAACTATTTGCTTTCTAATTTTGATGTGTTTATTTAATTGTATTTAATAAGAGTAATACAATTTTAATTCTTTAAAAAAGAAATATGATTTTGCATGAGGATTATTTGGTAAACACTTAGCTTATGGATTTAATAATTTCTATAATTCATAATTGAATGAATAAATATGTTTATTAATTGCATATAAAGTAGGAAATTTACAAATTTTACAACCCTATTAAAAAGATAGCATTTATTATAAAGAACAAAACCTTACAAAAGAATAACTTTTACAAGCCTAGCAACGCTTACAAAAAAAACAACTTTCACGAGCCTATTAATGCAAGAGAGATTGCTTGTTTATATTGTAATTTCTAGCATTTTAATAGTAAATAGAAGGATTTTTGAAGTAGAGAGTGCAAAAAACGCGCGTTTCTACAATATGCATATTCTCCCCCCCCTCACCCCCCCTTCTGTTATTTTTTTATTTGGAATATTTTGTAAGAATTTGGTTTTTATTTTGGAATATTGTAATATGTTGTGATTTATTACAATTGGACATGGTTAAAGGATTATTTTTCGCGATGAGATTGTTTGGGAGAGCGTACACTAGCTTAAAACCCTTAGAAAACACTGTAAATATCGTGCAAAATTGCTCTGAGAACTAGGCGAAACGTAATTTTTTGGATCTGCTTTGTCCAATGTCAATGACAACAAATAACAGCTCTTCGTCTGCCCACTATTAATGTGCAACACCAATGATAAATATTATTAGGTAAATCTCTCTCTGCCCCCGATGAATGTAGCATTATGAGCGAATGAAGATATAATATTATACATCTCTAGATTTAATAGCTTTTTTCTGGATCTCTGGGAAAATAGATTTCTTAGATTTGGGTATTTTCATTGAAGGAAAGCATTTGAAAGAAACACTTACATACATACTTATAGCTTTTTTAAAATACCATGACTATTTCCAGAGATCCAGAGGAAAGCTTTCGAAATGAAAGCTTTATATTTTTTTCACAGAAGTGATCAGATTTAGAGGTAACCTTTTGAATTAGAAGTTTGTACATAGAACAATTTTAATATAGCAATGAATATTCCAAGGGATTATTTTAAACAAATACTATTTATTCAAAAACATAATTTGTATCTTATTCCTAGCACTTCTAGGGCAAAAAACACTGTAAAATATAGGGTTTTGTGACATATGTGTTTTTAAACTAACTAAATTGGAATTAAAATAGAATTAGGCAAACGCAAATTAGAAGATTTTAATCACGATCCTTTTAACATTGATTGTGGAATTTGCTATTTATTAAATATTAGATTGCAATAAAAATCGTTTCCAAGTTCTCTTTAAAATTCATTGTGGAAACTAGTTTTTACAATTAGATTTTAGTCAAAGTCCTTTTCAAAGTTAGTGGTGGCTTTGATTTAATATCAGATTGTGTTTAAAGTCGATTTACGATTAATTGTGGAAAGTGATGCTTAACTAATTTGAATTGAT